GATGTGGGTGAAAAATGCATGTTTTAGATTACATGAGTCTGGACAGACATGGATATAAACTGTAACTGCAACTTGACTGGCTGGCAGAGACACATAACTGCAAGGTGTAATTTTAGTTTTAAGCAAAAGAAGACAAACATTTTCTGGTTTAATGTTCCTTAAATGTGAGGATTTGACGCTGTTCTTTGTCATGCATATTAAACTGAATAGCTTTGGATTTTTGGACTGTTGGTCAGATAAAACATTCGAAGGTGTCACCTTGAGCTCTGGGAGATCACACAGGGCATGTTTCACTATTTTTCTGACATTTATCATAACTACTATATAACTATTCATCATTTAATAGAGAAAATAACAGGCAGATTAATCTATAATGAAAAATATTGTTAGTTGCAGCCCTATTCGAATGGTAACCGTGTTGTACAGCAGACAGACATGGCAACTACAGAGGCTCTGGGAAGGGAAAAAGACCCAAGACAAGATTTGTTACGTAGGCATCAACACAGTAGTGTTCATGTCCTACACTTCAAATTAAGTATTATAAATTTATTAACCATACCATATTTTCCCAGCTGTCCCAAAGATTCAAACTAGCAAATCTTTTCATTTATGACATTTTACTTTGCTTTAGGCTATTATTGCTCCCTTAAATGCCATTTTTTACAAACATAAATTGACTTTGTCACTCTATTAAATAACAGAAAAGCTCCTGATTTTTCAAAGTAAAACGTGTTTGATAATAGTGCATTAAATCTGTACTGAATGTGTAACTGTAAAGCAGTTAAGCATGTAACATCTTATGGATATGTTTCCATGGAAGTCAGAGTTCAGAAATAGCTTGTTTCTTTTTAGAGTCGACGCGGGCCTGTTTTTGGAAAACTTGTATCACATGGTTAAAGCACTGCTTTAAGATTTTTTTTTCCCAGTGTTTCCTTGTTTAGACATGCTCAATTGCACTGTATGCTAGATTACAGTATGTTTCAGATGTGGTCTATCTTATCCAGGGACGCTCTCTCCTAGGAGCTGAGGGGTTACAGAGCAGAGCTGGGATCCAGGCTGCCTGCACAGCTCAGGGGCTTTTTCCCAGGCCTAGAGCCCCAGAAATAGTTTGCCCTGCTCTCTCCTGCAGTGAACCAAAGTTTCCCAGTCTTCCACAGAGCTCGGGGTCCCAGCTGAGTTAAACATGCACAGTACTGATAACTGACTGAAGGCCTTGTATGGCTCACTGAAATCATATCAGTAAAAAAAGCTAGTGAAATCACTTCAGTTTAACTGAGAGAAAAAGACATTTCCATAAATATTTGCAATGAAAATATAAAGACAAACAGGCAAATTGTTAAATTAGTTCAGATTAGTGTAGTTTATATATTGTACATTTTGCATAAGGCTGCTGACAATGCCTCTGTAAAAGGCTCTTGTTTAAATCATAGTGAATAAGCTTTCATAAACCATGCAGGACTAGTAGTTCTGAAGTAACAGTGGAAGTTTTGATACTTGTAATACATCCCTATAGCATTTTTACTTTAAACATGAATAAAACTGCATCTGTCACCTTATATAATGTATGCATGGTGAGTGTATTTTAAAGGAATGCATCACACACCAAATGACCTCTTGTATATCAATTACTCACTGTCAAGTTATGTTGAATTTGTGAAGAAAACATTTTTTTCCTTGAATGCCTCAACGATAAACAAAAAATCCCAAAACAGAAAATTCGTAATGAATTGAAGTCATGGGGGTCCGTGTTTAACAACAGCAAAACCAGTTGTATGCTTGCTTTGCTGATTTGCATTGCCTCTGATACAATGAGGTATTCATTTTTATTTATTTTAAAAGGATTGTATATATATATATATATATATATATATNGTTTATTTTTTTATTTTATTTTTTTTTTTTTTTTTTTTTTTTTTTTTTTTTTTTTTTTTTTACAGTTCTGTGCAGTTTTTACCTGTTGGAGAGCTGTGGATCATAGACATAGAGGAAAAAAATAGACCAGCCTTGCAAAACTTGCATCAAGCAGCATGATGCCCACACAGGCAGGCACAGCTTCCGTGGTCAGTGTAGCACCTTCAGTTGATTATAATGGACGTGTCGTGCTGCATTCCTGCATTTCAGCCATCAGAGCATCCCTAACAGACAGCCCTATCTGATGGGGAACTGAATGAAAGTGAAACTTATCTATGTTCTCTTCAAAGCCAGACTCCACTGACAAAAACAGTCATTTTACTTCCTTGAACACAGGAACTGCTTGTCTACCACTGCCTCAATCTGTAGTTTGGATTCTTCAGACACTGAAAGCATGTGAGAAAAACAAGGTTTTCTTTATGAATTCGATGTAACACGGGATGAGAAATTCATATACAAGTGGTCATCTGGCGGGTGAAGTATTCCTTTAAGTCAGGGAGGTATTTGCATTGAGTCTGATGTTATTTTCATTCTGCATGAAGAAGCTCATTAAAGATAAGGGCTCACTTTGAAAGGACACATGGAAGGATATTAATGGATCTGAAATGACTTCCTCTAAAACTAGAAAGCTGTTGAATAGTTAATGCAGCTGAGGCCTTTTAAATCCTCATATAGTGCTCAGGTTTTATTTAAGTCACTTTGGAAAGTAACCAATAATTTTTAAAGTAATGAAAATATGGAAAATAGCTGTAGATTACCAAATTTCATGACTAAAATTGACAGCAAAAGAGCAGAGGTCACCCTTGACATATAGAAATTAGTTGTTTTTACTCTAAAATTAGTTCATTTACAAACTATTTAACCATACAGTACGTCAGAATAGAAGCAACTCACTGGAAAGAACAAAGAAATTATTAACTGTATGTTTAAAGGACTGAAACCTTGATTTTCTCCACCCAAAACACCTGAGCAGCGATCTAATCAAACAAAGCCTCACTTCCTTTGCCTGCACTGTTGTGACTAGAGTTTGTACTCTGAAGGAGGCATTTGTTTTTGAAGGACAGGAAAGAGTTAAACAATTAGACATTACAAAATAATGGTGTGGAGGGTGGGTGGTCCCTGGTGATTGCTATTTATCACGGATGAGAAAAGAGAACTCAGGAAAAGGGCTGGGATGTGGATTAGGACACAGAGGCGGCGCGGAGAAGCATTAACAGAGGCACTGCAGGGCTAGCTGATGCTGTAATACGTTTGGGTGGAGGGAGCAAGGTGGTGAGGTCATGTTGAGAACAAGGGGGGAAAGGAAAATAAAGCTTGTGATTAAAATGTGGAATGTGTGTATCTGTGAAACTTGGGATCTCCATGTTTCCATGGGCTCAGCTCAAACTGTACCAAGAGGGAGGGAACTGAGTGTGCACACCCAGGAAATGTGACAGAGTTGGCAGCTTTGAAGAGAGGCATGAACTTTTTAGTGGTCAATAAAAGTAGAATGGAAATGTGATGTAACATGAAAGCCGGAAAGAGAAAGGGAGGAGCACCACAATCAGTGACTGTACAATGCAAATCATTACATGGTGACATGATGCATGAGAATCTGCATAGTCCTGGTTGTCGTCATGTTGTAAACAAATGCCTTGACCCATTCATAGTCCAAATGTTTGCAACCAAGATGGCTCACACCTTGCAAACAGAGTAGTGGATTATTGTTCTCAAGTCTCACGTTTGTGCATGTTACAGCCTGCAGCCAACTTATCACTTAGGCCACAGATATGTGAAGTGAGTTAATGGTCTTGAAAGGGCAGCGCGGAGGAGGAAAGTTTAGCAATCAGCTTGGGAATAGTAGGAGAGACAGAAAGTAAAGGGGCCAAGACGTGATAACACTGTGAGGCTGCAAGGACAGGTTCCTCCTATCACAGGCTGCGGCTTGATGTTGAACAGCTGTAGAGAGAGGGGCTCGCTTCCTGTGTCCAACCCACAAAAATATGCTCTTTAGCAGGAGACGAGACTAGTTCCTCTGAGGACAGCATTGAACCCAAGTTGTTTTGTTGTTGTTGTTTGCTTGCATTCACCCTCTCTGCTGTGTTTCTCAACCCGTCTGCTTTTCCTGTTGCAAAGAGGGAAGTGAAACATTTTCTTTATATCAGAATATCTCCCTGTTCAGCTGCAAAACTGCTCTCTGCACATGGCAGGCTCAAAGGGATACTTTGCTGATTTTCCACCAGCTTTGTGTCATAATAATGTGCATACTGTAGTAAGGATAAATGAACTATGGCAGACTTCCCTCCATCTTACTGCACTCCCTGTTTCTCCCCTTAAAAGTTTTCAGAAACATATTTTAGTTTACTGTTTAAGTGTAATATGAGATCACTATATGTTGCAAGTCAGCTGCCATATGTATATAGCATTGAGGCAGGCCTTGGTTCATTTCTTCGAAAGTTGCCCAGTTGCACATGACACCAAAACAGTTTGACTTCTCAGATTTAAAATTAGCCGTATCTTACGCATCATTGGATATACAGAGCAAGCTAACTTAAATGGGGTAAAATGATTTAATCGCGTCGAGTTTTGAAAGTTTGGACCATTGGTCAAATTGGACCAAATGGATGAAATCCCAATACTGAAACAAGTATTTTAGCAGTGATACGCCAAAAGGAATTATCCACTGATTTACAGACGTCTCTTTCCCAATTTAAGTCTACGAGAAAAAGTCTTTTGAGGCACGATGGCATCAAGGTATTTGCATCTTTCTAGTGCATAGCCCAGTTTTATGAAAAGACCACTTTTCCAGCAGTGAAATACTTTTTAATGAGAATGTATAGTTTTTTTGTTATTTATTTTTTAGCTGTCTTTGTTCAGCAGGTCACCGCCCTATATAACATCTTTCAGTTTTGCCTCATCTAACAGAGCAAAGGCATGCCAAGCACATATGTAACAATAATTAAAACCTGCATTCTTTTTGACAGTGTTATACTTCACTCTCAACTCATGGGAGGCAATATATACATTTAAAATTTGAAAAGCAATATGTCAACTGTTGTAAATATAAAGTATTTGTCATTTGTTTGACTGAATGTCTTTCTTTTTTCCAGGATTCTCCATCCAAGCCATCTGTGGCTGAGCTGGCTGGGAGGTTCAAAGGTCACATTTTACCAATGCCCACCTCAAATGACGAGGTGCGTTGTTCATATCTTATATGTTACAGTATCCATACAGAAATATACAAAACAGTGTGTCTAGCTGCCTAGAGGAATATTACTCCACATTCTGTACATAGTTTATTGTTAGACCTAAATAGAGTTGTTGGTAAATATGTATGGACTGCTTGTGATTAGAGATTTTATTCACAACTCCTCCTTTTTGTTTGTAGGTGCCATTTCGAAGAAGACCCCCATGTTCCCTGAAGCTGCAACATCAAAAAGATGATGAAGAATCAGATGTGAGTATTTTTCGTCCTAAACTGACACATATGCTACAAATCTTCTTGACATACAAAGGAAGTCTCACGAAAACAGAAATGGACTTGTTTGCTGTATACTTTCACTGCAACCTCACAGTTTCAACACAGTAGACAGTGAACTATTGCCAAATCTTCTGCCTAAGACATTGGGAGTGTTAGTGCAGCTGTTTCTCTTCCAATGAAATGACTACCAGACAAACCACACAAACCTGTTTTTGCATGATGGAGAATCAAAAAAAACAAACAAAGCACAACATAAGTGCAAAAATTTACATGCATCACAAGCATGTACAACAAAAAGCTATTTTATTAATTCAATACCATTTAATCTTTATTTTTTAACCTATTGCTTACCAGAACATGTGCTTGTATGTCTCAGTTAACTGTGTAATGACAGTGCACATGATATACAATATGTTAGTATCACTAAACATGTCAGTATTAGCTTCCCATGTTTCATATGGAGGGTTGTAGCTATTCTGTGAACTTTTCTTCTCATCACTTATGTGTTCTCCTGCAGAAAACTATCGTCTCACCAAATCCCTTTAAAATCAAGGTGAAGAACTCCGCCATCATTGAGAAACTTCAGGTACATGCATCTTACATTTGAATATTTTGTGGAGGAAATAGGGAACAAAACTAATGATTGCCTTGCCAGTGACGTGTTATATAGGATGTAGTACACAGGCAGAAGTAGTCAGAAGTTTGTACATCCAGGAGACTGCGATATGTAAAGCATTACTGCCACCCACTGTCCAGTTGACACTGGTGCCTGAGCTGTTTGCATGCTGAGAAAAATAGGATGGGCTCGTCCCTGATGCCACAATCGGCTCAGATTAACAAGCTAATGGGATCATGGGCCACTCAGGCTCCAACTTGCCACCATCGCTCCTTTAGTTAGCAATTCACACGGTGGGCAGCCATGGGACAAAAGGGCTGCCGCTTCTCCCTCTTCCTCTTCTCCCCAGTGCAGGTAGGACACTCTCCTCTAAACCTGAACAGTGGTTTGAGGACTAACTTGATATTTCATGTACTTATCAGACTTTGTCAGACTGAATATGGCAGGTGTTTGTAACACTTAGAGGGGCATTTCAGGCTGTATTTGGTAATAAGTAGGAAGGTGACAGGTGTAAGCAAAGCGATGTCCTGTGCACACACCTGTGTAATACTGTGTACCATTTTCAGACAAAGGTACACCTTTTAATAAAGAATTAGACCTGCTTTTTAGTGTGTATATATTAGTGATATACCCATGTTAAAAGTACCATGATGTTGTTTAATCTTTCCTTCACGTATTCATCATATTTATTAATTGAATTTGTGGTTGATTCTTTAAGACAGTCTCAAGTTTTACTCTAAATAGCGTGTTCATTTTGAGAAGTGTTAGGTAAATACGTGTGATTCCAATATAAAGGGCATTGTTTTATTAGAACACAATGTACTAAAGAGATTATACTATCAAGGCCTTAGGATCTTGCTGTCCCCTGTAGGCCAATCTTGCTCTGTCACCCACTGCTCTGCTGCCTTCGCCCAAGAGTCCTGAAGTGAAGCTCCAGCCAGCACCGTTGTCCCCCACCACACCGTGCAGCCCGCAGAGCCCCCTGAGCCCCACCCTGCGGTCCTCACATCAGTCCAGTGAAGAGGAGGATCCCATCACCTTCGACAGCCCTCCTGAGGGCACCACGCTGCCAAGCTTCAACAAGGTAAATGTATAGACTCATGCAAAGCTGAATATTGACTTGGCAAACATCTCTCCAGGTCATTTGTAAGCATTTTTGAGTAGCTCGTACTCCTTTGTTTCATATATTTGTGTGGGTTTATACACATGACTTCTGAGTCACAAAATGACAAACATGACTTGCTGTTGCATTGAGGCTCCTGAGGTTTTTCTCACACTATTGGCCGACTGAGCTGTGACGTCACAGCCGGACACATGGTGCCTGTCCCTGTTGATGTGTATCACAGTGGGTGTTCTGCATCCTCTGTTTAAGCAGGCCTTGGATAAGCTGGAGCAAGATGCCCCTGTAGTGCATGAGCACTGCTGCAAGGGGGATTGAAGATGTAATCCCCTTAGCCTAGTTAGAGTCCCTAGGTACCATTTTGTGCAGTGCTCTCACGCAATTCCTGAGACTTGGAAAGTTAATAGAAATACTTTAATACAAATACATTGATATTAAATATAGATTCTGAGCTGTTTTATAGTTGCCTTTTTTAATTAATTTTGTTCAAAAACATGATCAAAATTACCTAAATTCCCTGCTGGTTCTTACTCATCCTTTCCACACAGACTCGTGCACGACTGTCATTCAAAAGGCGCCCGCCCACGAGACAGCACAGGAGGTCAGCTGGAGAAGAGGCGGGAGCCTTTGGGAGTGCTCTGTCCCCATGTGAACTGAATAGCCCAAAGGAAAATGGGGACATGGACCAGGTATTCGAATACGGACAGTCGGCAAGTCTGAAAGAAGCCGATGAGAGGGACAGGGACTGTGAAAACACAGAGGATGAGGTAGCAAAGAGTGATCCAGACAACAGGGGAGATCCGGAGGAGGAGCAGGAAGCAGAACAAGCTTTGGAAGAGGAACAACAGCCTTCAGAGTCTTGCCCTGCCAAGGAGACGGAGGAGGAGGAGATGCCTCAGGAGAAGCACCAAAGAGGAAATGACATTGCGTGAACTGTGAATATTTACTTCAAGAAAAAATATATAAGTATGAATAAGTTATTCTTATGCTTTGATTAAAATAACTCTTTCAAAAATACTCAGAAAAAGTTAATCTGATTTTAAATTTCTTGGTACCTGCTCTTTTTTGAAGTCCCTCTGTCGCCCTCTCCTGGCCATCTACATAGCAGGTCTATAAACACTGGAGAGTTTGGAGAAGCAGCTGTTCTCTGCTCATGGAAATAAGCATCAAAGTTGATACTGTATTCATTTTCAGGCAGAGGAAATTTGCGTCATATTGTATCAAGTCTGCATGACCAGACTCCTGTTTTTATAACAAATAGCTTTTTTTCTTTGCAAATCAAAGACATTGTTATGAGTGCACTTTCTGTCAAAGGTATCAGTTGTGTACAAATGACTTTGGATATACTGAATAGAAGTCATATATACTTCATATACATATATATGTATATAAATATGTATATACATATATATATATATATATATATATATATTAGTAGATATATAAAATGTTCTGTCATCATACCAAATCCCTGTCACTTTTGGTTGAACTTATGTACTTTGCTTGTCTAGTTTTCCTCCGACTGTCTGCTTGTTTTACATTTTGTATTCTACGAACTATCTAAATCACAGTGCTACTGAGGAGGGGCTCAGGTCCTCGGCAGTTATGCACAGAAATGTTAAGAAAATAAACAGCTTCCTCCTGTAAGAAAAGTTGACATTGCATCTGTCTGGTCACATTTCTGAGTTGAACGAATCATTATGAGTCAAATTTGTCAATGTTGCAGAGCATCTTTATTCTGATAGGTCTGTCAGTAAATATGTAATGCTGTGACAATTATTTGTTGAAGACAATGTTTTATGTACAGGAGAGTCTTCGGTCAGATGATGCCTAAAAGTTAGTTGGCTTTATAGAGGTTGCCAGTGCTGATAAGGAAAGCCCTTGCACACCTATGGAACAGTCACACAGGTTATTTAAATGACTCTCCCTGGTCCGGATTAACAGCTTTATTGCACCTCTTCAGATAAGACAAACTACATTTTGATACTTTTTACTAGTTCATGGAGTCCCATAATTTCCCACTGTAGCTCTGCTCATTTCAACGTGAGCTGAGGTCTAATCAGAATAACCGAAAGCACCTTGTATGCATACAGGGCCTTGGAAATCAAATACCAGAGGGTATTGTCTAGAACATTAAACATAAAGGGATTTAAAAGAAATCAGAGCATTTATAAAAAAAAAATAATAAAAAACTGATCTCCCTCTCTTTTTAGGACAAAATGTGCCTGTTCTTGAAGGCATTACAAGTATAGTATGAAAACCTAGTAAAAACTGTTAACCTCTACCGACCTCTAGTGGTGTCCATATCGAATTGCAGTAATTGTAATAATGGTTATAAAAAGGTAACTTACCCCAAAATTGCTACTTAATTTGAATGTGTATCTTGTATATAAAAATTCCTTTAATTTACTTATCCATAAGCTCAGTTTTATTTTGTAAGTAATTTTTAAACAGTTTTATAGTGTAGCAGCAGGTGATATCTGTAGACTAGGAGTTATCAGTATTATTCTTTATTTATTTTAATCCTCATTAGCCACAACTATTCTTCCAGAGGTCCACAATATGTTCCTTACTGTTGAAAGTATACTTTCCCGCTTTACTGAATTAACAACTATGGCTTATTTTTGATACATAAACAACTTGGATTTGAAAAAGCACCATCACACCATCAGAGGCATCTTAACAAACAGCTTATTCGTCATTCTATGACCTGTTTGTGAAATGCGAGCCGTCATATCAGGTCTATTATTTGCTTAAGTAAATATTCAATATGCCTAGTCATAAAATCCTCGAGGCCTCTACCTGGGGACAAAATGGATCACGTCACGTCCGAACTTGAAATACCTTCAGGTACCGACAGTGCAGGTATATGTTAACATGCAGTTCCCTTTACATTCAACTCCCTACCGTATTTTAATAGTAAGGCAGGTTGTGAATCGCTTTACAGTTACTAATGTCACTTCCAGGAATGCCGGACTTGGGTCATATCTGTTAATGTTTCCTCCCCCGGTGTCTTTACTTGACTACGCCTTCCGACGTCAGCTCCACCGAAACTTTAAGGAGCTCACCTGCCTGGCAGCCAGGGTGGGAAAAGACGAACACTGAGAGGAGACACCAGTGTCCTCGTCCGGAAGAAAAACTTTCTCACGAGCTGACAGGTCAACAACATGTGAACTCGCGACCTGTTGATTTTCAGGAATTGTTGCCTTTTTGAACCGCTGCTGGGACGTTTAGGGACCCGCGGACACTGCGGTTTCATTACTTAAAGTTATAACTGATAGGGACTTCCGGGTTGGGACTTCGGCTGAGGAACGCCTATACGGCACTGGGAGTTGAAAACTAGTATGGAAACCAGTGTGGACATTGAGCTGCAGACCATCAAGACGAATGGGAACGATGGAGCAGCATATTTGTCTAATGAACGGGTGAGTTATTAATATTAGGGTAAATAAGTAAGAGTTTATGTTAAGTGGTTTGTCCAGTTATAATAATTATTATTATTACTATTATTATTGTTATTATTGTTATTATTATTATTATTATTGCATAAGAAATAATAATAACAATATTAATAACTGTGACAACAGCAATAATAATCACCATCATCATCCTCATAATATCTTATATCTACATCTATATAGGCCTACTGTATATAGCTACTACATCCCTATTTTCTTTCAGGTAGCTAATTTTTAGTGGCTGCACTATGAAACATAATGTCATCACCATTTTGCCCAAAAACTCCCATTGTGGTGTTTAGCATGTCATAGTAATATTACCTAATGTGGGAATAAAAATAAATATCATTGCCATATATAGACATATAGTATTTTGCTTCCTCATGTGTATAAGGCTTCATTGTAACGGAAGTAAACTGTGTCCTTGGAGAGTTTTCATTTGTGTATGAGAAGCTTGCTTTGTAGCTGTTCCCATGACAGTTATCGGGTAACCGGATGCCTCCCGTTGCCTCCCTTCTGCTGTGCACATCTAAGTTTTAATCATATTATGTGACTGAACCTGTGATTTTTGGTCAGACCTACAGAGGACACTCCACGTGTCAAAGCTCTGACCTTTCAGCTGAAATAGACTGACTCTGTTGTAACTTTCATTATTCTGTTTATCACTTTATTAAATAACACCAAAGACAACTTGATCGTTTCCCTCTTTTTTTGTTCACATCTGCCATAACACCTAATATTTGCCTGCTTCCAGGTGACAGCGAGTAATGGAGATGGTGCAGCGTACAGATACCCTGATGCATCAGAGAGAGATGGGTTGCTGTCAGGACAGGTGAGGTTCCAGCAAAGGTTGTGGTGGTTGTTCATCTTGTATATAGTTTTGTTCAGCTTTACAATCTGTTCAGATATTAGAATAACACATATTTTATGTTTAGCATGGATTTTACATGTCTGTGTAAAAGACAAAAAAAGGAGCTGTCACTTACTTCCTGCACTCCTGAAAGTGAATAAATCAACACACTGTCCCTAAATGATATATTGCATTCATACTAAGTAAATGACAACTAAGTAAGTGAAGTAAGTGACATATGTCTGCTTATATGTTTGTCAGATCGATGGTTGTAATGGCGGGGTGGCCCCATCTGCCCATACAGCAGAAGCTCAAAGGGATCTGGAACATAGATTTACTCCTCAAGAGGTTTGGAGACTTTTAAAGAAAAAGTCCAAAATGTTGATTGTGGGGTATTTCCTCTGACACTTGTAATAAAGGAAGTGTAACTGTCATGTGATAACTCACTGCGTTACTTTCCCATCCACCCCCGAAGAGGACAGTGAATCTCTGAATAACTTCTTGCAACTTTCATTTTGTTTTTTATGCTCTGTTAGTTATTTCTTGAATAATGTCATATTAGAGTGATGTATATCTATCTTGGTATTAAAGCTGATAGACTGTGGCCCTATGTTGACAAAGCAATTCCATTGTGCTTTTAGGAAAGCGCCGTGTGCAGGGTAAAGAGAGAGCTAAATGAGGTTGTCTTCTGGAAAGTCAGACTATGGATGATCATCATCAGCATCTTTGTTCTCATCTTGGCTGTGATTTTGATATCGATGGCCGTGTGCTCAGGTAAGGTGTTGAATGATGCTACATTTTTGTATTTACGTAAATGCAGTGGAAAGCAGGTAAAGATTTGAATTGCAATCTGTAACAAGGTGTTTTATCATACTTTAAAGCACAAATGTTACAAGGTCATGGACAGCTAAAGGTAAAAGTGCAAGTTATAATACAAGAACATGACATCAAACCCTTTGTGCAATGAATCTGTAGACTATTTCAGGAGTGTGTGAAAACATTTCATTTTCAGAAGTTATGTTTTCAGTTTTGAGGCTTTGACCCATTTTCTCTTTGAGCAGTGATCCACGAGGACAAGGATGACAACTTTGACCGTTCAATGTTTAAAGTTCCTCAACATTTCCACGGAAGCTTCCAACTGCCCAATCGGGTCTTCACAGAAGAACTTCTCACCCGTTCCTCCAATGAAAGCCAAGCACTTGCTGCTGACCTTCAAGAAAAGGTTTATACCATTTCTGACTTGTATTTCAAATAAAATACTTAAAGGTCCAGTGTGTAAGATTTAGGGGAGGTTTTTACTTGGAGCTGAATTATCCACAGAGGTTTCTTCCTCTCCAGAATAAATGCACCAGGTGATTAAACCAGTAGAAACACTAAATGAAGCAGTTTCAACTTAAAAAAAATCATCAGTGTTTTTCTGATGCTGTGGAGGGGCTGCTAACTATGGTAAATACAAATCAAGAGCCAGTGTTTGGTTTGTCCGTTCAGGGCTACTGCAGAAAAATGATATACACTCAAGAAAACATGCTTATTAGCCTATGTTATATTCCATTTCTGCCAATATATCCTCCTAAATCCTACACATTCGACCTGTGATTGGTTGTGTTTATAGCGCTTTATAAATATATGGAACAAATATAGAAACTGTGGAATACAAGACAAAATTGCTATGATTTGCTTTTGTATACAGTATATCTTCCTGTCTTTTGCTAATAGGCCTACATCAGTTGTCTCCTAGCAACAGCACCTACATTAGCATTATGAATAGAGGACTGACATTATGCTTATGACTTAACATAAAACAGCAGGGCATGGGGCATTATGTACAGTACGGCAATTACTTTAATTAATTGTAATAGTCATGGTGAATAGTTATGTTTTTAAGGTAAGGGAGGGTCATTTTATTTACAGTGTATAGCACATTTCATTAAAAAAAAAAGAACGTAAAAGCCCTTGTAACTGAGAATGTAATGCCTCATGCTTCACAAAACAGAAACTTGTTCCTAGCTGCTGGTGCTGAAAGCCCCTTTTTGTTTCTGCCAGAGAATTTAAAAGCCCTCAGCAGCAGGATAAAGCTCTCAGTAAAGTGAAAGTAACACCCACCTAAAACAATTCACTCTCATTGTTTGCTCTTGCATGTGTAAACCTGCCCCACCTAGCTGGTTGACCTCTACACATCCTCCCCTGCCCTGGGACGATACTTCTCCAGAGCTGAGATACGTGAATTCAGGTAAACACACATCACACTCAAGCATTTTCCCACCTCTGCTACATGAAACCACTGGATTTAGCCTTTTGTCATGTGTACATTTTACAGGGAAAAATGTGTTGAGCTTCAGAGTTTCTGTTTCACTCTCTCCACAGGAACGGTTCAGTCATCGCTGACTACCAGCTGACATTCCTCATGCCTGAAGAGCAGCAGGATCAGCTGAGAAACATCACTCTGAGTAGAGAGATGGTGTACAACGTGTTCAGACAGTTTCTCTACGACCAGGAGCCAGATGAGTCAGGACAGATGTACATTGATCCAGTTTCCCTGAGCATGTTTTAAGACACTAATGACAATGTTCACAAGCAAACAGGAAAACTGGTAAATCTTGCTTTCTTTGTTATTTAAGTGAGACTCTGACTCAGTAAACACTAAGCTTACAGTAAGGTGGTTGACCGTGGCATATGATTTGTCAGACTTCTGTGTAATTCTCCCACGAGTCTGCAGACATTTTGCATATGATGCATCTTTAACCACAGGAAGCTATGTGGCCACAGTCACACAGACCCGATACGGCTGTAGGTCATTATGATGACCTCATGACCTCTCAGACATTTGCCTGCTTTCAAACCATGTGGTTTAAAAATCAGTGTATGAAACACAATTTTTCTATATTGTATTTGAGAATTTTTTGTGCTCGTCTGTGCCTTATTTAGCTGTAAGTGTAAGATTGTTGGCACACATATCAGTGCTGTAATTATTTATATTCATTCTCTGACAATCACTGTGATGTTATACCTGACCGTTTGTACAAAACGTGGCGGAGTAAGTGTTTTTTTTTAAAGGAAATACAAATGTATATATTTTCATATCGGTGCCATTATTTTCTGTCACCGGACAGCATTTGCAAACCAAAACTGTGGAACGGCCTGAATGCATTTGCATAGACAGCGATCAGACTGCAGGAAGATCAGCTGTAGAGAACTGTACAAGAAAATAAGCCAGCTGGTGCAGTCATTTTGGAAATAATGACTACATAAAACTACATATACTGTATATTCTACTGTATACACAAAGGGTTAACCTGATGTACTTCTAACATTCTTTCTGGCTGAATAGTAGAGGAAGTGCATGTCAAACATGCAAATGATGAAGTACTGTTTACTTTGTTTTTCTGTCTCTGTTTGGAGTCAACATTTGAGAATTTACACTGACATTTTCCTCTTAAGGTGTGCTAGTAGCAGGTTGTTGCATTTAATAGCGCAGGCTGCGTATCACATGTTAATCAGCTAGAGCCGTGTCAGTGTGTGAGACTGCAGCCTGTTTCCTGGCAGTGATCATGTCAACATGTCTGTCCTCTAATAAGATTACAGCTGTGATTAATGTTTGTGCCAAATGATCTGGTCACAAACAGTCATTCTTCACAGCCACCAGATGGTTATTAATTAGTCCTCCCTTCAGCTGGTTACACTCAGTACAAGACTTCATGGAAAGAACTGAAGCTTGAGCCAACTAAGACACTAATTGCCATGTTTTTTATCACTTAACATTTTGTGGTAAGAACTCATCTGTTCCAAAGGTGAAAGTAAGGGTTTGATTCAAATAATGTGAGAAAATATGTATAAGGCCTGTAATTTCTCAAATAAAGAATATTTTTACAGATATTTTTCACAGCTGAAAGATGCAGTTAATTCGAAGCTCAACTGTAAGGGTTATTAGTCATTCACTTACAGGAGTTAGTTAATCCTCCTTTTTTAAATGGGGCTTAAAAGATATGGTGTATTGGATTGGCATAGAATTTATACTTGAATACAAGTTTTGGCATTATACATAAATTAGTCAGATGGCAGTGCACATAAAAAAATATTAACCCCACAACCAGCTGAGATTTATTAAGAAACTAATGGCCATTCTGAAAAGGCAAAATTAGAGTCACTTGAAAATATTATTGTGTATGACATAAATTCTTAATAGTACTGTATTCAGAAGGAAATACTGCTGCTACTATTTTCCCCCTGGGCTTTCTTTTCCTGAAGGGGAAATGTTAACACATGCCATTCTCAAATGTCCTTGTTGCATGATTGTCACATGCTGGTCAAAAGGTCAAGTTTAAAGAACATCAGTGGGATCCCGCTGAGGTTTCAACAGCTTATTACTGTACATAAAAACCAAATCAGTCCACCTGCTGCTGAGATAAACAAGCGTGAACCTGCACATTTCTGTTTAGACTGGATTTATTTATCAGATCGGATGGCTTTAATTGACCTAAGCTGCTCTTTACTGTATTTAGGGTTTGGGAGGGTGTCTGTAGGTGTCTCTCTCTGTTTCATCAAAGTAAACACGACTTTATCTGTCTGCAGCAGTGAGAGATCATGTGCCATGGCACAGGGTAGCGGCATGGATCCTGGTTGTGTATAGCTTTATAGTTTAATAGACGCTGGTTGCCTTCACTGTGTGTACTCACTGACAGTCCATCTCCTCAATCCTATTTTGAGAAATGTTAATCGTCTAAAGCCAGATTTACTATAATAAGCCCCGTGAGCTGCGATAGCCCGGTTGGCTTAAACACTACTACTCTGTATCCATTATCATACCCATGATCCTCTGGTCTGCAGGGCCACACTCAGGTCAGTTATGCCACCAGTGCAGGTTAAACATACATTTATCTACTCTGGTGTGTGTCTTTGCTCAGGGTGTTTACTTATTTCTGCTTACTCAAACTTATTAAAATCTACTCTGTAATGCCTTAGTATAAACCTAATTTTCATGATAAGGCTTGGGTTAATGCCATTAGATTGATTGTCTCAAGAAATTCTTTAATAACCACAATTAAACCTGTTATTTTAGGGTCAGTGGCAAAAGAAAACTTTAAGCATAATACCTTTTTCACTTGTCATTGAAGGAAAGAAAACAAACATGAACCCTTGTCTCCCTGCATGTTGACATGACAGAGATGTTTGAGTTAATTTGATCTGCTTGTGGGCGCTACAGCTGGAAAGGGGTTAAAATGGTTTAACTCTTTGCAAATGGAAGGCAAGACCGGTCACTATTAGAACTCACTGAACTCTGATCCTTCTGAAATGTTGTCTGTAAGCAGGAAGGGAAAAAAGTGAATGTTTCAATCCTCTGCCTATGTATTTGTATGTCTTACTGTAGATTATAAAATACATCCAAAGTACAGTGCTTCTGATCTTGCGCTTGCTAACATGGTTCCCAATTTGTGAACGTAGCTGCCAGGCAAACTAAAACGCAACATGCTTAGAGTATACTTTTATTGGACTGTCTTCACTTCAGTAAAACCTTTAGCTTGTATGTAATTTCTTATGTAACAAACACATTGTGAAAGTCTTGCAAACCAGCCAAGAATCCTTGTGTGTTATGTCGTGTTATGAATTCTTCTGCAGCTTCCCTCAATGATGTAAGCCCTCAAAGGAATACTTCACCCACAAAATGATCATTTGCATATCAATTAGTCGTGCCTTGTTGCTTTGAATTCCTGAAAAGAAAAAGTTTTCTTGCCTCCATGGAAAGTGGTGAACGTATTGATTTATTGATTGATTTGGGGACAGCAAAACTACATCAAACATGCTTTTACAAACTCTCTCACAACCGGCTTTGAAGAGTGTATAGGTAAGTTATATTTCAATTCAGTTTGAGGCAGTAAGGTTGATCTTTGGTGTGTCTGATCTGAGCACCAGTTGCAGCCTTTTCACTCCTGGTGGCTTGTCAACATTATTAACAGTTCGGCAATGAATACTGAATTGAGCCATCAAAATTAATTAACACTTTTAGTCCTTGAAATTTTGACAGCTTTTGTTCATTGTATCTTTGACAAGTCTAAAAATAGGATAACAAAAGACCATATGAAGGACAGGCCTCTAATGTGCACAAGCACAAAATTAAAAATGATAAATTATTCGCTTTTGAAAAAAAAAATGTACATGCATATACATGTTTCTCCTTTTATTAACATACCTATTCTGTGTATGACCCTATTTATCATAGATAATATAACTTTTATGTAATTTTTCTCAAGAGGCTTAGTGCGTTTCTTGTAGCTCAGAAAAATCCCCTGGCCTGTTCATGTCTGTAAAGAGGATGAGTCGACTCCCACAGGAATTCCCTTGGTAATTCCCTGAGGAACCCCAGAGGTGTGGGATAACCATTGAGAGGGAGGACACAGCTATGTTGGTACATTTAGATTATTTCTTTGAATGCATTAAGATGTGACTACGCAGGTGAGCACAGAAAATAATGGTGGCTATAAAAATACCTCCCTAAAAGGGCAATGAAGAAACAACAAACACAGAAAAGAAAATGGAATATTGAATTAATATGAAAAAAATAAATCAAAAAATGAGAAGCAATTTCGTCCCCCAGTGCCATGGTAGAAGTCTTCAATTAATGCTGTAATTCTCTCAGAGTCAAAAGTTCAAGCCCAGGTGAGCTTCCCTTGTTAAAGTCCCATCTCCCAGAATCTCGGTAACCAAGCCCCCTTCAGTCATGTAGCATGCAATGTTCTGATGTTCTTGGAAGACTTGTGCAGTTATCCTATTAAAGGGTTATCTCTGCTTTTGGCTGTGCCAAGACTTAAAGCTTAAGGTGGTCGTTGCATGAGCTTTCCTCAGTGCTGCCAGTGCTCTGTGAGAACACTGTCATCTCCTGCTCTCAACCTCACCACTGGCTCTCTGCAGGACTCTGGCCCAAATCAAGCCTCTGGAGGAATAATGGGCGCCCACAGCTCCAACCTGGATGATCTCATGGAGGAGGACATGCACCACTGGTACACCAAATTCATGAGGGAGTCTCCGTCGGGGCTCATAACGCTCTTTGAGCTCAAGACTATGCTTGAAATGGGCGGTATGACAGAGGAGGCCAGCAGTTATGTGGACCAGGTCTTCTTCACCTTTGATATGGATGGGGTAGGAAAACAGTGTTCTTTCTTGGTCTCAAGTTCTTTCTTGTTCAGGAAAATAATTGCGTGATTCCCTTAGTCTGGAAATGATATGCCAACTGATGAGACAGTTGCTTGATGAATTCCTGATGCATACAGGTTGTTGAAATAATCAAATAATTACACTGGTATCATAGAACCAAACTTTGCAGTGAGAAATAAAAGGCTCGTTGCCTTATTTCTGATGGTTTTAAAAGAGAGTGTACCATTTTAAAAAGACTGTTCTCTACTGTCTGAGTCCTGACCTCTTTAACAGAGCTTAGGACAAAAGGTCATGCATGATGGGCAGAACATGAATTACAGTAAATATGTGCTATAGTTTCCTCAGCATTAACCCTATAGTCCTTGCTTAAAAATGCATAAATGTTATATGATACAGCTGAAAATCTTAATTGAAATAATATCTTTTGGTGTTGCTGTACAAGCACATGCATTGTCCTTCTCCTAACGGTGTCTCTCTGTCTTTTTGCAGGATGGCTATATAGACTTTGTGGAATACATCGCAGCAATCAGTTTGCTACTGAAAGGAGAAATTAACCAGAAACTGAAGTGGTACTTCAAGCTCTTTGATCAAGATGGAAATGGGAAAATTGACAAAGATGAATTGGAGACCATATTCAAGGTACAGTCTAATTTTGTTCCATAACATATTTAACAAAGAGAGCAGCTAAACGTTTCCTGTATGATAAAGCTTAACAGCTCTTCTCCGAAAGAGCAGAAATGGGCCATGAACTAGATGTGAGGCCTAATCCAGGGGGCTTCTTACCCAACGCCATGGCTAAATTTGGCCATATTACCTCATTCAGTCACGAAAGACGCCACAGAGTAATCATCCTACAGATTACATGACACCTTTCTCCCTTGTCACCATTATATTAGTAACTGTAGGAAATTACACTTATTATCAGTTAAGTGGTATCAGCAGTCCTTTAAGACTCAGTAGGAGGTGGAGTAGGACCAGTATATAGCTTTTCTCACTCACTAAGTCTCCTGTTTAGTTTTTGCATTCAGCAGCTGCCATGTTTTATTTAAGTGATAGGCCTTTGCAAGTATCAGTATAACAAACAATGAACCATGTAAATTCTTTTAGGCTATTCAAGATATCACCAGAAGCTACGACATCCCCCCAGATGAGATTGTGACTCTTATATATGAGAAGATTGATGTCAACGGAGAAGGTGAGGAATGTTTTATTTACTTTATTAGCGCTGAATATAAAAAGTGTTCTTGGTTAGAAATAATGTCACCATGACTTGTCCAGCCTTGCATGAGTATGAGGCATCAATAAACATTCTAGTTGGGAAAAATAATAATACCCATTTCTCTTAGACAATGTTTAAAATACGCTGATGCCATTTTCATCTTTCCTGCTTCTGTCCGCAGGCGAGCTCACACTGGAGGAGTTCATCAGTGGAGTCAGGGATCATCCCGACATCATGGAAATGCTCACCAAGATGATGGATCTTACCAACGTCCTGGAAATTATTCTTAAAGGCCAACAGAGGAAAGCTGTAAACTGAATTAGCAATGAACAAGATGGATTGTGTGGAGAATTCTTTTTGGAGGGTTTTCAGCATGCAGCAGTGTTGAGAGAAGAGTGTTTGTGCTTGACTGGTGAAGAGCCAAGTCCCAGCTCAAACTGCACAGATTGAACTGAATGGATTGACTGAGCAGGCCCACGCTGACATGATCTCTCTCTGTGTGTGCCACCGGAGTTATGCAGGGGATTTGTCCTCTTCCCTCAGCTTGCGCTCGCACATTCCTTCAGCAGTGGCCCTTCAGTTTTGATAAGTTTTCAAACGTTTTTACTGGTGATGTGTTTGGAGAGTCTCGGTGAAGGGAGGCCCATCTGCTCTCAGGTTTCCATCATGATTCAAGGAGACGGCGCAAAGAGAGGTAGATAGATCGCTTTGATTTATCTTGTTAAGAGCTTACTGAGCCGGAAATATTGTATGGGACTTTTGGTTCACAGTACTGTCAGGCACAAGAAGACAACTGTCAAACTGATAGTGAATGTCTTACAAAACTTCAGTACAGAAAGCACTTCCTATGGCATCTATGACATCATTACAGCATTTGGGTGTTAACCTATTAACATGTTAACATCTAAAACACTTAATGAGATTGATTGTTCTGTGTTTTGTGTTGTTGCACATGTAGGATCTGCATGAAAGCTATGCTGATGCTTGTAGAAAAACTGGATGGTAGCTGAAGATCCATGTCGTGGGTGAATATAAAAAAAGTAATTGCATGAATTTAGTATATTTTACAATAATTAAGTTTGCAATGTTGCCTTAAAATCAATACAATGTTTTTGTTAAACTCTTTTTGTCTTTTGTTCTCTAAATAATCTTGACCCTGGCAGTTTATGGTATAATTTTTTTTTCACCTGATTAAAATGCGGGAGTAAAAGCAACCCAACATTTTATTACTTCATTAATTTATGGTTTAAAGCAGACCTTTAGGTCATGCACATGCAGATGATGAACACCAACTGCTGGACAAGAGATCATGCCACTAGACTATGCTCCCATGAATATATATTTCATCAGACTGGTATGATGAAGAACTTTAAGTTCATCACCTCACCTCAGTGACAATTAAATTTATATTTATGGGAGTATACTCTAGTGTGCAGACTCTTGTTTTTCCATTCAAAGCAGACCATTGTCACAAGAATGCAGGGGGCATAAAACCTATTCAAATTCATCACTCTCTGATCTGCTTAATTATGAGAGGAGTTCTACATTAAACGTAAAATGGAAGCATATGCATGGTGTCCAAAATAACCTGTCTCCAACTGCAAACATAGTGTATGTCACTGTGTGAAAATCCATTTTAAATTAAACCTTATCCAAAGACCAGCTATCGTTCTCTAAACAATTATCCTTGTCTTTTTAAGTGATAAAAATCTAGTCTTTTGTTTTCAGGGTGGTGCTTGGCTCCTCTTCTGAACTAGTCTGCCAAGGGACAGACTGTCTGCAGAGCTTTCATTTCCATTTGTGCACAAAATACCAGAGCTCTTCTCAAACATGAACGATCCTTATTATCAGCCATCATTTAGTTTTTGAGGGGAGCCAGACGTACAAACAATTGTTTGCACCCAAGCCCATCTGGACCTCTCCGTCATTTTTGAGATTATATGAGGATAACTTAATTTTCTTTTAAAGATCTGTTGTCCAAGTTCTCTTTGCCTTTGCAGTATTAGGTGCAAACAGACAACAGAAGAACCAGGAGTTCATGTCTCTAAGATAACCTGCAAATGCAAACACAGCTGACCTTGGTTTAATAATTCGTCCTTTTTGTTTGGTTAAAATTTGACATCCCTCTGCTGATTTTTGAACTTAAATTAATAAATACAAAATCATGTCAGCCCCTTGTACAGAGGATATTCAAACAAAATGGTCTGCAAGGTTAATGATTTATCGGATGTTCATTTTGTTCCACACCAGTCAGATATTGTTATGACCTCAGAGGAATTACAGGTTGTGTAAATCAAATAAAGATAAGAGTTTGACTCCACATAGCACTCAAAGCGTTCCTAAAAGTATCGGCTGATGTAATTACGTAACTGCCCAGATCGACCCACCTGTGCTCATCATATAAATTCACCACTATCTGCTCTCATGGCTTTGCACTGCACACTGCTTCCTATACTGTCAGCCACCACAGCACAGGAACAGCTAACCACATCCAACTGGAACCATGCAGTCTGCCGAAGCCAAATTCAACAAAAACAGCCTGCTCTTGGCTCTGAGGCGATACAGCTCAGCTGTTAGCGACATGGAGCAGACCATTCTCCTGCCGAGCCTGCTGCGAGATGTACCCTCTGATGAGGCGTGGGACTGTGAAGCAGCAGAGGAGTCCTGCAGAGACCTGTATGGCACCTATCAGCTGCTCAAAGCCATAAGAAACACCGTGGAGAGCAACCTGGGTCTCCTGGATGACCACAAGTCCAAGAACACAGTGCTCAACAAGACCCTGGAGCCTCTCTTGGACACAGATCCTGAAGGTCTCTTCCGCTTCCACCTCACAGGACTGTTTTCTGTGATGATTGACCTCACCAAGAAGACTCAGAGCCTCACAGAGAAATATATGGACATCATTGGAGTGGCAAATTAGAAACATGTAAGATACATGGACATAAAGCAAAATACCTGGTGTTTGTAAAAGTGCTGTGGCAAAGTCATCTGAACATCCCAAATGTCCGCACTGTTTACACTCAGTGACTTCTAACTTAATGAAAATGGAATAAACATGCGTTGTCAATACTGATCAATTTGATCTCTTCATTTGCTGACTGTTATAGTCTCTTGGAAACTGTGGTTTAAGAGTATGGCAAATGTTGACTGATTAAATGATCATGAAAAAACAGAGCATTGTTCTAGGCTTGATTTATGCCCAAACACACAAACTCATCATGCTTGTTGTTTTAACTTATCAGGAAAATTTCAGTCACAACATTTTGACTTTGGGTATTTTTTTATTTACATAATTATATTTAACACAATAAAGATTTCACAAAAAGACCACTCAGGACAGATGGTAGTCTGTAGGTGTTTTCTCTTCCCCTCCCTCTTCCATCTCACCAGCCTCAGACACTTAGCGCACAGGATGGAAAGGCTCAACAATTTCTGCAAAGGTCTTTTTCTCTGGTGAGACAAAACAAAGAGAAGAAAATGATTACACACATGCAAAGGCCACAATGTTTTAGATGTATCTGTGAAGACCTGTGTATTGAACTTTAAAAGCTTCATATCCTAATATTTACCATATGTTAAGATTCTGGTCTTTTATCACCATATGATGGTGGTGGTGATAGGTTAATGTGTAAGAGAATAACAGTCCATTCAAAAACACAAAGTAATAAAAATATTCTGGATAAGAAATTAAATTATATTCATACAGAGCACTGCATGCACCTGTTATTAAATAATCAGGTAACAGCCCTGCAGTTCCTTCTTAAAGCAACTGCTCAACTGACAAGAGATCATGCAAAAGATGGAAAAACAGAGTTCACCACTAGACTGTGCTCCCATGAATATATATTTCATCAGACTGATGTGATGAAGAACATTAAGCTTATCACCTCACCTCACTGGTGATTAAATTAAATTCATATTCATGGGAGTATACTCTAGTGTGTAGGCTGTTTTTCCATCCAAAGCAGACCACTGTCAAAAGGATGCAGGGGTTATAAAATGTGTTCAAATTCATCACTCTCTGATCTGCTTAATTATGAGAGGAATTCTACAATATTTTAATATAAAAACTAACTATAAGTGTAAAATGCATATGCATGGTGTCCAAAATAACCTGTTTCCAACTACAAACATACTGTAAATCACTGTGTGAAAATACATTTTAAATTGAACCTTATCTCAAGAGCAGCTATCATACTCTAAACAATTGAAACTTGATTTTTTAAGTGACAACAAACTAGTCTTTTGTGTTCAGGGTGGTGCTTGGCTCCTCTTCTGAACCAGTCTGCCAATGGCCAGACTGTCTGCAGAGCTTTCATTTCCATTTGTGTGCAATAATATTTACCATGATTTAGGATTCTGGTCTGTTATCACCATATGATTGCTCATAGTGATGACAGTTAAATGTGCAATAGCACAACAGACCATTTAAAAACACAAAGTAACAAAAAAAAAAAAAAATCTGAATAAGAAAATAAAATATATTCATACAGTGCACTGCATAAATCTGTCTAACCAGATAACAGCCATGCAGTTCCTTCTTAAAAAAAATCCTGCTCAACTGTGCTTAAGAAAAATCAACCTGATAACTATCATGCTACAAATTTTCATGAAGAAGCAATCAGTGACCTTACTGCACAGACAGGTGGATGAAGTGGGACTTATCAGTGTCCCTCCTGAGACTTTAAGTAAATGATTATTGAGAAACATGCATAGAACATTATGAGCACAGCTATACTGATGTGTTCTTGTGTCTTCTCCTGTTTGAGCAAGAGCTCTGAAAATTCACTCACCCTTTGGTGCAAACTCCTCTGGGTGGAGTCTGATATACTCGTTCATATCACGATCCAGTCTGGCATAAGTGTAATTTTCATATTTAGTTAGGTGGTAGCCAATGAACCAACCGATTGTTGCCAACAGGACTTGTCGGTGGACACCTAAAAAAGGAAAATAATACAGATGACGATTTTTTTTAGCACATAGCATGAAAGCACAACAATATAAGCTTTGCACTGAAAGCAAAAATAAAATTTTTATTGTTTTTTTGTGGAAATTAACAAGCATCCTAGAGTATACAAATCAGAACTAGGAGGAAAACATTTTAGAAAGTTATATTGAGATAATTTTCTCACTAGTGCACCTGGTGCTGAAAGTAAGAACAGTTCAAAACTGGAGTATACAAATAAACAAAGCATAAATAGCCTATAGTCTATCAGATTGAACATGCAGTTTAGATTAAAAACAGCCTCGAGCCCTTACTTCATAGCTTGTCTGCTATTATTTACCATTTAATTTGAGACATATGAAACGAGAGGAAACACAGGTAGGTAACCACACACTTTAAGCTAACACAATAAATATGTCATAAGTCATTACTCTGCTATGAAACAACGTGTTGGCTCTTTACCAGTGCACCATCTCAGGGTAGGTTTTTTTTTATATTTTCTGATTAAATGTCGCATACGCTTTAAAGGAGAGTCCACCTCAGCAGACAGGATAAGGTCTGACAGGCAGCTAGCAAACATGCTAACCTGATTTTAGCGGCGGCCTGTGGTTGATGGCGTTATGAAGCATCGCGGAGCACCAGCCTATACCGGCCAGCCACACCGAGCTCCTGTTGACGATCCCCGGAGGAGGGAGAGACTTCGCCTCGTCTGGTACCAGCCCCATGGCGACAAATTTCCACTTAAACTGAGAAATTTAAGTGACCTCCCGTCTGCCTGCCTTGTTAGCTATCACCTCCTATAGGAAGTCAAGGGCATGGTGTGCAACCGAATAAAACGTCCGGGTACATCAAATGAGAAGCGCTTCAGTTCCGCCTGTCCTGTATCCTAGCAACGCACGAAGCCCCAGATGATAAAACTTTACATTTAGCAATGAAAATGATTACTATTCAATGACATTACATTGATTAGATTTTTAAATATAGAATCACATACACATAACACTGTTATCCACGTATTTTAAACAGTACAGAACACTACATCAAATGAAGCTCTCTGTAAGTTGCTGGGCTATTACTAAGCTTGATACTAACATTAGGCAATTTTGGTATCTAGCCAGCTTTTTCTTTAGAATTATTATTCATTACAGTGGGCTAACTAATGCAGGCTTGGTGAGTGATGTGGCCGCATTTGCCATGTAAGGTTGTACTGATGGTCAGTGGTGTTGTAGTGGGGGAAAATGGCACTGAATACCCAAGGCCCCAGTGGGAGGGGGTGCATTGAAAAGCCTGGAATGAAAAGTTTGCACTTTTATTACATTTCCAAATACTAAAGTTTCATAAATACATTTAAACTGGCTGAATAAATCAGCTGGTAGTAACAATATTAGTTGCTAGTAGAAGTCTTTTGGAGTTGTACAACAGCCAACATAAATCTTCTATGTAACTTACTATGTCCTAGTGTGTATGTGTCCTTCTAACATTCACAATAATAAATTAACAGAAGCTGCAAAACACTGCTATGGCCCTTGAGTAATGAGAACTTGAAGGATGTCCCTTTTTTTTAAGTCATTGCCTCATGATTATCATAACTCTGTACTGTATGTGGTACAGCTAATATAGGCTACATTAAGATTTCTAACAATGACCATCCTATATTGCATATATAAAGTGTGAAAGTGTGAAATGTAATGGAGTAAATGCATAACATTTAACACAGTATAAATGTTTATATCTTGAATTGTCTGCTTCATCAGCCTTTAACATGATATCTATCTGATTTATTTTATATTCATGTTTTCATGCATTCTTTTAATTCTTTGCATGCTTTTACGTTTTTCTATTTTAGTGGCCATTTTAACACCTGGCCTGTGAACAACAGTTGAAAATTAGCCTTTATCTGACACTAACACATCTACAGTAATATTTATTAATGTGCACTGCCCCTACAGAAATGAAATCAGCAATTAAATAAATAAAAATACTTAAGTTCAGCTCCTTATAATAGCACTTATGTGCAATACTTGAGTAGATGTACTGGGTTACTTTGCATGTGCGCTGATGACATCATTGAGTGCAGTCTTCCTCCTCCTCCTCCTCCTCCTCTATGAGACAGGCTGCTGCTGAGCTGCTGAGGATACACAGCCAGAGGAATTATGCCCTGCCCAGCAGTGGCTTTGCCTATTTGATGAGGTGACCTATGCATACCAAGTAGTTGTAAGTCCGGGGAGATCCCCGTGTTTTTGGTAAGTGCAAACTCTCTCCACACTCTCTCCAGGCTGACTGACATGTTTCTCTCCTGCTTCTGCACATAGTGGCAAAATGGCTAGAGTCGCACGGTAGCTGCTAGTTGCTACTGTTGCTAGCTTCGCCCTAATGGCTCTCAGCTCAGGCTCCAAATGTGGCATTAATAGGAAGAAATGTGTTGTTAACTCAGATCGAGCCTGTGCAGGATGATATAATGTTACTTTGCGTTATAAAACAGGATAAAATGGCGAAGAAGGAAATGCGACGCAGGGAACAATTCATATGGACGCGCTTTCAATTGAATTAGACCTTAAAATAGGGCTCATTGTATCCAGGCTGGCATTCAGGGATTCACGTAGTCTTGCAAGCAACAGTTTGACCCTTAATGTTGTTCCTTTTTATTATGAGATATTTAGTTTTTACGCACGTACAGGCCCGAGTCTCCGTGCTGGCACTGGAGCAGATGTAACGGTGCAGCAGAGAATACTAAAACTGTTTATTACAACCCCTGTTTACATGCATGTTACACCAGGACACTGACCGGAGACATAGAGATCCATCAGGTCGGCTACACATCTGCATTTTATCTTGCAGATTATTTTCTCCAACAGTGTTTTCAGCTTCCGTGGCTCCATTATTCCCCAAAAGTGATGCACGGACCCTGAAACTGCGCTATGCACGAAATATTAGGGATCTCACGTTGTGTCATATGATGTGAAAATGGGGAAAATGATTGAGAAGTGAAACAGGAGAAGAGATAGAAATATTTCCTCTGCGTGTTCCTCCGTGTCCTCATGTTGTTGTTCTCAAAGTTCAGAGTGTCCTCAGTGTAAGAGGCCTCAATGATGGAGCAGCAAGGACAGCATGTGATTTAATTAAATGTGTAGATTATCATTTTTATGAATACCAGAGATAGGGAGGTACAACAATGTCACAGAGTTGAGGAACTTTTGCTTTGAGTAATTAGTCAGCAAATGTTGT